CCACGACCACCGCCGCGGTCATCGCGGTCGCCATAGTAGGAAGGCCGTCTGTCCCCTCTGGCACCGCGAAAGCTGGAGCCAGGATCGCCACGATATGGAGTATCACGCCGTGCTCGACCTCTTCCTCCTCTCCCTCTTCCACCCCCCTGGTAGGAGCTAGAGCTGCGGCGACCACCGTCATCGCGACTAACGCCGCCTCCACCGTAGTGCGAATCTCGCTGGTCCCGGCCTCCACTACCACGTCCACTTCCGTTGAATGGCCCRTTGTTTCCACCACTATAACGCGTTGGCATGGGACCTTCACCGCCCCTTCCTCTTTCCGATTTATTGCTGTATCGAGAATTGTCCCGCTGAGGGCCACCACCATTCTCGCCGTTTCCGCCTGGATTGTCCATGTTGGCTACATCGCGTTCTCGTTGATTGGCTCTCTCGAGGTAGCCTCGTTTGAAGTGATCGAGTGGCTGTGGTGCTAGGTTGGGAGCATCCTCCGATCCCGGGACAAAATTCTCCCCATGATCAACAACGTAAGCCCTCGAGTTCCCGTGCCTTTTGGTTCGGATAGTATGTGRTGTAAAAGAATTCGCGCAAGAAAAACCGACCCGATTATTGTATTGTTTTTCCAAGGAACAGTTGGATTGTTGGATGTGATTCCCGCACGAAATTGATGCATGACAACGAATGAAATTAGGATGATTGGCGATTGTATTTCAAGGAGTGAGTGAGTAAGATTCATGTGTTAGAAACGCAAAAGGTTGTCGAGTATTTCAATCTATGAGCATGAGCATGGAACGAGACAATGGGAAATCCAGACTGAACGGAACGGAATTGAACTCATTGCTTTKGTTGCTTKAAAACCAACTAGTCGCTCAGCAGCTTAATAGACTACTGGGTGCTCTGACTASGGGATCGCTGGGATCGCCTCCATTTCAAGTACGAAACAAGTGGATTATGCTGGATCTACAAAAAGCTATGTTGTCGCATGGATACTATGATACCGTTCGAAGGCATCGATCGGGCGTCTTCACAATCGATAAGTTTACCCCCCTTGCATGTAATGCATGTAAAAACCATGGGGTTGTGCATTGTTTGTGCGTCTCACCTGCTCATTTCTTGATTGTTGTGTTACGTTCCTACGTGGTATTGCCTCACACTGGAAATTGACGACCAAAAGAGTTTGCTGATCGTTTTTGGCGTTTGCTGGTTTTTCGGGTGTTTGAAAGAGGTGTGTCGAATGTCACAAAGCTAACGCTTTGCGGTATGACACAAAGTGTTGTAATTCTTRGGCTGTTTGTTGGTGAATAGATACAACTACGAGGACTCGTTTCGTACCTGTACCGCTGAGAGCGTGTGCAATCTAGCTCAAAAYAATAGAAAAGACCACCTGTAGACTCTTAGTAACGMAAGGCTAAATSGAGGTCTCGGTTGTAGCAGCGGTAAAAATTATTGGCGCAACTTCTTCATTTTTTGTGAAGATGATGCCTTGCCTGTATGTGTCTGTATGTTGTCCGTCGGATACAGATGCAACAAAAGCAAAGATTCTGTGGGTTGTTCGATACATTTTTTGTTTTTACAGAACCTTATTTGTGACACGGATGATTGACTCACATACGGGACTAAAATTGACACCAATTTCATGAATCCAAGAAATGACGTTCGTACCTCCAACAGGAGGTACAGTACCACTCGAACTGGTACGTGCTACGTCGTACTGTTACGACTCTCTCAAAGCTTGCCTCGTTTTTCTTGTCAACTATGGTGGTGTGTTGCTCATTTTTAAGCACTTCTTGCTCCTGGTGCACTACTAGTAGTACTACTAAAACAGACAACAACTTTTACTTATTACATGGAATTTTGTACTTTGTGTGTAAAAATTTGGGTTGCACTACGGATCAGGATAATAGTACTAGTAGTAAGAAGCATCCGCCAAGGAGACAGCATTGTTCTTTCTATTTTTCCTGCCTCCAATGTTGCGACGAAGCTTCTTCTTATCATGAAAACTTTCATAATAAGGGGACATTTGAACAACATCAGGTGTTGGATTTGTGTAACTTGTGGGTCACTCCCAAGCAAGAGCTGACTGTTTGCCTTTGTCAGCAACCACCAGAAAAAAATACATCATGAAAACAGAGCATGGGTGGTGATTCACTGCAAACAACAAGTACCAGGCATTTTCCTCATGAACAAACTTGAGAGTTATGAAATATACCCATAATTGTAATCCAAGAATGAATGCTCTAGACCACAGACCAGTTTTTTGGCCACAGGCATGAATGCTTTCCATTTTCCCACTTGAATTCTGTATTGGATGCTTCTTCTTCTACAGATGTTTTCATCCCATTGAAAAAATGTTGGGTGAGAAGTTCAGCCTCAATCCCAACATCTACATTTTTTACCTCACCAAGGATGGGCTTCAAGATGTGTTCTTTGATTTTGTCTTTGCAGGGTACTTTGTATGCAGAAACCATGTACTTGAGAAAGAATTTCAATGCCACCTTGACATTAAAGCATCGAAACATCAGCTGTTTGGATTTTTCTCTGACTTCTTTAGTAGTTCCTCAGTGCACTTAGGAGGGTACTAGAAGAAGCCTGCTTCTTCCCTAACCATAATATGATACTAGAACCCAAGTCTCCAGGCTGCATTTACATATGGTGTCATATCAGGAAAGGATTACTGGAGATTAGACTTCAAGGCATCAGCTCATATTTAAGAGGTTTTTTGACATTGCATCACCATTCTGGTCGTGATAGGTGGGGTGCAGAAAACATAAACATGTATTTTGACATCTTGGATTTTGTTCTCTTCTCTTGWCTGGGGTAGTCYTGGTGGCAGAGGCGCCCCAGGATGTGGAGGGAAAGGAAGATTTTTTGCCTCTTCTTTGGTGGTGGTGATTCTGGGGGCAAGTCTGTTTTGCTATTCAGGCGGCCTTTCACCAACTCTCCCATTTCATCATTGCAATATTCTTAAGGAGAGTAAAGATTTGCGTTCTGCAATTTTTTTTGGCATGATTGCCAGGGCTATCCAATGATCTCAGTGAAGCCGCAAGCGCCTCCAAAGCATTTTCCACTTTGGACCAAGAATTGGTTGATAAATCAGATTCTTCCAGGCGAGACATAATCCAGATCATTGATGAGAGGATCTAGACTCAACCACATCTTATTCATGCGTTTTGACTCCTCCTCACATTGGTTGCACAAAGAATGCACATTAAGGAGCAATGTCATCTTCTCTTGTCCATTGTTGAAATTGATCATGGTGCTACTGTTGTTTGAATCCATAGATTTGATCATGCTGCTTGTGTCATAGGCATATGATTTGTACTTTGCTGAGAAAAAATTAAGGGACTTCTTTCCTGGTTTATGATCTGACAAATATTTGACAGTATCCAAAGCCACTGCTATATAATCATCCTTGTCATCTGATTTGTCTGAATTTTTGTCAGCAGTACTAGACTTATCACTGTCTGTCTACATCAGACTTCTTGGATTTCTTGCTGTCTAATTCAGATTATGTAACCACACCACATTGATTACAATCCAATTTTTTGTCAAACTGGACGTACAGATCTCAACCCAAATTCAACAAGGAGAGCTGGACAAACCACATTGAACTGGATTCAAATTCAGATATTTCGTCAAACTGGATCATGCAACCACACCACATCAATAACCCCAACCCCAATCCGGAACCACACCACATTGATTACAATCCAACTTTTCGTCAAACTGGACGTACAGATCTCAACCCAAATTCAACAAGGAGAGCTGGATAAACCACATTGAACTGGATTCAAATTCAGATATTTCGTCAAACTGGATCATGCAACCACACCACATCAATAACACCAACCCTAATCCGTAACCACACCACATTGATTGCAATCAAAAAATTTGTCAAACTGGACGAACCATATCAAACTGGATTCAAATTCAGCAATTTGGTCAAAGTGGCTGGATCATGCAACCACATCACACCAATAGCCCCAACCTGTAACCACTCCACATCGATTGCAATCCAAATTTTTGTCAAACTGGATGTACAGATCTCAATCCAAATTCAACGAGGAGATTTTGTCTAACTGCTGGATGCAACTGCATCAAACTTGCAACCCAAATTCAACAAAAAAACTGGATGAAACCGAGAATCAAGCTTCTTCTGGGAACTAAAGAGCACACATACATTTTGCTAGTGTTGGGTAATGTAACGTTCTACGTAACATCAGGAACGCTAGTACCATTAGGAACGTAATGTTTGGGTCAAGCATTTTGTGTTAGACTAGCATTTGTAACTCAAACGTACTATGTTCTTTATCCCCTCGGTTCCTAAAGTAAAACACAAACGTTAGTAACATTTGTACAAACGTTTATCCCCTCTGCCTGTTCCTAATGTAAAACACAAATGTTAGTAACATTTTTACAAATGTTTACCCCCACCATTCCTAACATATCATATCACAAAACTTGAGAGCATCCATAATAAGTATTTGTGACTGTTATCATTGGTAATACATACTACTAGGCCTTTATTGTTTAAATAAGTTACAAGCACTGGAGATTGTCACACAAGATTCACTAGTCTTTGACGCCTACTCCAAAAAGAAACAACACAGACAACCTGTTGTGCCAGATACATCTTTGGCTCCTCATGTCACTTCTTCCAGTTCACTCCAAACAAAGCTAAATCAATTCTAGTACTACTAAATCCAGCAAAATAAACTCTTGGTCACACTTCCACCAAAACTCTTCCAAGGGAAGTGCCGCCCCTCAGAACAGCTAGTAGAAGCATACTTTCCAATCAAAGGTATGGTTCTGGCCATATAGTGCCTCTTCTAGTTGCTGCAGTTTATGTATTATCGCAAGGACTCATACCAAATCGTGGCAAGAGAAACAGACAGGAGGAGATCCACCCAATTCTGACAATTGCTACCTTCCTTGACCCAAGAACCAAGAGCTTGGTATCCATTGGAGAAGATGATAAAAGTAAAAAGATGTTTGCCACTGCAAAGAAAAAAGCAATGAAGATATTCGCAGCAAAGTACTAGAACTGATGAAAGACGAGTCTGAGTCCAAGAGACTTGAATCTATGGACTTGGCTGCCATGGAGGCAACTAGGAACATCACCATAGAACAAGTTGAAGAAGGAGATACTGGTGATGATACTGGTGTTGATGATGCTGACATGAACACCTTTGAGCTGATGGAGGAAGAAAAGGCAGAAGCTGAAGAGGTTAACCGCCATCAATTTAGCAATGGTGCAGCAGACGATGGTGTCAATATTGATCATGCTTGTAAACGTGAAGTTGAGCTTTACGTTTGTTCCGAGCACTTGGCCTTCGTCAAGAAAATTGGAAGTAAGACAGTTAACAGTGATCCACTCCAGTAGTGGAAAAATCACCAGGCAAGTTATCCAATTTTTGCAAGAAGGCTGGCCAAGATCTATCTTCCTGAGCAACCCACCACTTCAGCCCCATCTGAGCGCGTCTTCAGACACGTTTTCAGACTCCTCTCAGCAAGGCGCTCCTGCTTGGATCCAGAGTATGCAGGAAAAGAATTCTTTGTATCTAAACCCACATTGGCAGAGATTGAGATGGCTGAAGCAGATGGTGAGCATCATGCTTATGACCAAGTACTAATGGAGGTCTAAGAGGAGGAACAAAGACTTTATTTGCGTCAAATTGTGCATGTGCATCTTAAATTGGATACATATCCTAGTAATTGGTAGTAAATCAGTAACGTTACTAGTAGTAGTTAATAATGATGTGTGAACTGTTGTCACAGCTTTCCAATAGCAGATGTCAGCCTTGTTATGAACGTTTCAAATGTTTACTAGTAGCAGTACTAGTAGTAGTAGTAACGCTAGGGTTGTTACTACTAGTAGTAGTAGTACTAACGCTCAGGAAAATTTATGTGAATGTTTAGCTTTTTTTTCACACTAATGTTTTTCTAAGGTGCTAACAAACGTTTTGGTTTGTAATGCTTTTAGGAATGTAACGTTTTACTACACAAAACGTTACGTTACTCAACACTACATTTCGCAACTACTATTAGTAGTTCTTGTACTGTACTGTACTAGAGATAGTCCGATAGAAACGCTAAGTCTGTACTTTTCGGTCATTTCGATCTCCTTGATTCTTTTCCGAGCCCGCCATCCAACGATCACGATGACAGAATGTTCTTTTGTACCGTAGCTGTGAAGAAGACCACCGCAGAGGAAGGGCAGCAACAAAGGAGGCCACACCAAACGAGGCTTGACCTAGYAGATAGACAACCGACTGCGGTCCCACAGAGAACCCYYGGCAGAGAGCAGCACGATGAACCGCGAACCCTGTAGGAAAGCTTGCCATGCACTGGCCCGCGCCCTCGGCAACCAGCGACCACCAAAGGGAGGACCCCTGGGCGGGAACCAGTGCCCGGGGGTTGTTTCGGCAAGACACCGGAACCGGGCCGGAGTTTCTACGGTTGCCGAAAACCAGATCGCCCGGTGGCTGAAGGAGGGCGGCGAGGATGCCCTGGGGAACAAGGGGAAGAAACTGGTTGTGGATCGGCACGGGGATGCTTCCGCCGGGATGGCCGTGAACCAGCACGATGTGGTCCACAGCAAAATCCTGGCGGACAACAACATCCGGCCCGAGTCGATCGAGCGCCGCCTCGAAATGGACAGGGACTGGGAGAAGCTGAAAGCGAGAATCAGGGATGCCTGGGAAGAACACAGAGGCAAGACAACAAGACACGGAGACAACAACGACGACCWMGCAAGGCTTTCGATCCACGAATTTTCRRAGAGTGAAACAGCGAGGGAACTCTTTTCCGAGGACGTGAAASGGCTCGACCTGCAAGCAAAACGAGTGAACGAAGCCGCGATCAGTGATTCTTTGCGATTCAATGGGCGATCACCCGTTCGCCATGCAAAACCCTTCGTATTGGAAGACCGCATAGTGATGGCCCTGGAAGAGGACGACGACGACGACGACGACGACGACGACAATTGAACAGCAAGAAGCCCCGAGTACACTCAGCAGTATCGAGTGATGTCATATCTCGAGAGGAGAGGATGGGCCCAAAGAGAATTACGTGAACAAAAGGAAATCGAATCCAAAAGCGAGGTACCAATATATAACTAAATGGTTTTATGCAATAATACAATAGATCGGCTTTCCATTCTACACCCTWKCTCGGTCTCCGACGAMCCGCACGGTAGGTTACCATCCRTACCTGCGCTTTGCCGTGGCCCTGTGGGACCCCTGCCCCGCACCGAGGCTCCCGCCCGCATAGCGGGGGTTCTGCGCCCGTTGGCTCTCGAGCGAGGCGGCGTTTGCCAACAGGCTGTTGAGCTGGTTGCTGTTCTTCTGGCGGCTCGTCACGCTGGTGCTGGTGGCGGTGGTTCCGGTCGCCGCGTCGTAGGCGCTGGTGGGAACCACCCGGACGGTCGACGAGGCCGACGAGGAAGCCGCCACCGCGGCGGCGTAGTCCCCCTGCTGCTGGTAGACGTGGGCCACGCCCCGAACCTCGTGGTCGCCCCGGACCTCGTCCAGTTTTCCGGCGCGAAGCATTTGTTCCATTTGGCGTTTCCGAGAAAGAGGTTTCTTTTGTTTCTTCGTTGCTGGTGGTTGTTGATGCTGGTGGTGATGATGATGTTGTTGTTGTTGTTGTTGTTGTTGTATTCGATAGTGGCTGGCAGGGTGTGAGCCGGAGTTGTAGGATGTGGAAGACGATCCCCTCACCTGCGGGGCCGCGGATCGTCCCATGGAAGACGCGGCCCGGGCCCGCGGTTGGGGTGGTGGTGGTGGTGCCACGGATGGTCGGGGGACCGAGACGGAAGGTGTCCGAGGGGACGCCGACGCGGACGCCGACGCGTGTACGGAAGCATCGGGTTTCACCGCCGAGTCTTCTGCGTCGTGAATGTTTCGCACCGCCACCGGCTGCCTCCGTTTTCGGGTGGTGGTCTCCACCGTTGTGGCAAGAAACGCGGCGCCCAGTGGTTCGCTCTTCGGTTTTGGTCCTGGTTTTTGCGTCGGCTTTGGTTCCGTGTCCGGCGTGGGATTCTCGTCGCCCGTGGTGGCCGATCCGGAACCCTCCTCGGCGCCGCCGCCCAGGATCTTTTTGTTTTTCGGCTGAGAGGAGGACCCGGACTTGGACAACTCTTTCAGCAGCCCCATGAGGCCTTTGTCTATGGAAAAATCTCTGGGCGGTGCATTCGTGCTTCCCGGATTCGCTCCCGGATTCGCACCCTTCTTCCGTCGGGACSCAGGTGTTTTGCGRCTCTGGGCACCAGTGTCTTCGTCGTCGCTGCTATCGGTGTCCGGGTTGTCCTCGCTGCTGTCGGAKTCGGAGTCGGAGTTAGTACCGTCGCCGCTCTTTCTGTTCTTCCTGCCGGAGCTGCCCCCCCCGCCCGCGAGCTGGAGCTGGTTCAGGATGTGTTCGGGCAGCACGGCCGACAGCTTGAGGACTTTTCTTCCGATCACCCGCTTGGTTCGGTCCGCCCTTGTGCTCCCCTTCTTTGCCGCAGTCGTTGCCGTTGCTGTTGCCGTTGTCGTTGCCGTTGTTGCTGCGGGAGACGCGGCCGGAGGGAGAGAAAGCCCCCGTGCCGGTGCAGCTGCGGCGGTTGCGGGCACCGCCGAGGGCTTTCCACCACCGTCGGAATCCGAGTCCGAATCCGAATCGTAGTTCCCCAAGAGATCCATGGCGACCGGATGGTTTCGTGTCGGTCGTGTTTTTCGATGTGATGTGTTGCGCTAGGTCACTCTTGCTGTTGTGTTGTGATGCGTTGTGATGTGATGCGTTGCGTTGTGATGTGATGTGTTGTGTTGCGTTGCGTTGCTTTGGCGTCTCGCGGCGTGCCGTAGATGCTTGAATTCGTTCGTGTCCACTCTCTATCTTTTCGTATCTGCCGTCTCGTGCTTCGTTCGGATGAAACGGGGAGGCTCTGGACCGGACGGCTTTGTCTGGCTTCTGCAAAATTCGGGTGTTGTAGGGCTGGGAGTCGGACACGGAATTATTGTGGGATGGCTGTTTGCGTTCGATGGTGACGGTTTCAAAATCATTGTTTTGTGGTTGTTCGGGCAAAACGATGGAATTCTGGCCACTACGGTAGCCGTCTACGCTCGTATTCGTACGACCACTGCACTGGTACGAGTAAGGTACAGTACTCATCGATGGTTTCGTAAGATCAATCCAAGTACGTACCGGTACACAATGGTACCGAAGAACTTACAGGTCACATTCGCACGATCTGATCTTTGCACGGCCCTTCTGGATTTCTGTGGCACTCAGATTTCGGATTTGATTTTTGATGCGAGTCAGCCAGTCATTCGATCCGTTTCTGTTTATCATAGTATCTAGTATATGCAATATACATATGCTCAGTTCTGGGTACACTCCACTACGTACTCAGTACTCACTACTGCAAAGTACGAAGTACGAACGTACGGTACGTGACGCAAGGTACGTCCATAGTCTGAATAGATACGTACCGTAACGTACAAGCAGCGATGCTGCGACACTGACACTGCGACACACGAGCTCTCCACCCATTTCTCGAAAGCTGCTTTCGATCGATTTTTGGTACGAGTACTAACCACACGGCACGGCACGCCACAAGACAACACAACATACAACACGGCACAACAAAAGAAGACGGAGTTCTGTGCCTCGGACTCCCGGAACCAAAGCCAGCTCGCGGACCGAGGATCGATCGGTGTGTCCCGGGCCGATTCGATTCGATTCGATTCGATTCCATTCCATTCGACGCCGCCATGTTTCGAAAACGAACCAAGAAGGCAGCCGCGAAGAGCAACCTCCGGAGAAAGCGGAGGGACGACGAGGATCCGGTCGGGGAGAACGTCAGCGGCAACGACGAAAGCGAGGGCGACGCGGCCGCCACTTCCGCCAGGATCCGGAGCACCCTGAAAAAACAAAAGATCCTGGCGACGCTTCCCATGACGTCGGGGGGAGGGAGCGGGCGCYTCCGTGCAAGCGCGAAGCAGAACCGGAGCGGAGACGACCACCACCAGCAGCAGGACGGATCGCAGGCCGCCGAGCTCTCGGTCCTGGACACCAAGCACAAGAACAACATGGAATCCTTCATCGAGGAACGAATGGCCTCGTCCGGGGCCGGGAGAGAGGGCGGGACCGGACCCGCTGGCCAACCACCGGAGGCTTCCTCGTCGGCTTCCGCGTCGGCTTCCGCGTCGGCTTCCACGGAAGACGACCTCTACCGGTCGCTGGCCCGGGAGGTCGCCGGCGAGACCGAACCCTTGGCCCCCGGAAACGAGGGTCCTCCCGAGCAGGACGGAGACCAGGGGGCCGGGGGGGCCGCCCTCCTGGGGGGGACGGGGATCGCGGAGGTCATCCTGCCCTCCACGAGGCACGAGCCCGTCGCCCTTTTCACCGGCCAGCGGGGCCACCGCCACTTCTCGGAAGGCCGGTCCTCGGCGGTCCCCGAGGGGGAGAGGCACGGGCGGTCCCTGCCGGAGACGACCCCGAAGCCCCTGGTCCGCTTCTCGGGCAAGGCGAGCGCCAACCTTCTCGAAACAAAAGGAAGCAGCGAAGGCAAGCACGGAAGCAGAAGGGAGCCTTCCGGGGGGGAAGGGGGCGATCTCGGACCCGAAGACGGCAAGGCGGACGCCGACCGGAAGGGCTTTGACGCCTTTCGGGGCAGGGCGGCGGCGTCCTCGTCCCTTTCCGACCAAGATCCGGGGGGCGGCGACGATCGAACGAGGCACAACCGGTGGAAGACCGGGCAGAACCGGGACGACGTTGTCTACCGGCAGTTTTTGAAGAAAGCCCTCAATCCGAGGAACATATGACGGAGGGGAGGCCGTTTTTGCACCGGAGCGATGCAGCGCTTTTCCTTTGTGCCAAGCGACCCTGATCGCGGGTCCGGAAACGAAGCGCCCGACCATCCACTGCCGCTTCTTTTGTCACGCCAACACTAGAACACGAACACGAACACGAACACGATCTCGTCTACAAAATGTACAAACAAAACCATTTAGTATTATTACGGTACGGTACGGTACCGTACCGTACTAGTTCGTTTCCGCGCGCCGCGAAACGCCGCGTCACACCCGTGCCAAAGGGGCCGCCCTCAGCGAATGGGTTCGTCGTCGATCCATTCTCCCTCGTGGCGAACGTTCCCGTTCGGATAGGTCTCGGTGCCCCGCCCGTGGGCCATGCCGTTTCGCCATTCCCCCCGATAGCGCCTGCCGTCCTCCCAGGTGCACGTCCCAAAGCCGTCGTAGCGGCCGTCCTTCCAGGACCCCTCGTACTGGCCTCCGTCGGCAAAGGTGTATTTTCCGTGTCCCTGCCGCTGCCCGTTGACAAAGTCTCCGTCGTAGATGGCCCCATCGGGCCAGGTAAAGACGCCTTTTCCGTGGCGCTTGTCCTCCGAAAACTGTCCGTCGTAGATCCGGCCATCGTTCCACCGATACACGCCGGTGCCGTGGCGCTGATCGAACTTGTACTCTCCTTCGTAGGAATCCCCGTTGGAAAACGAGGCACGCCCGTATCCGTGCCAGCGGCCGTGGCGCCAGTCGCCTTCGAAAACCCTGCGATCCTCCTCGTATATCATGCGTCCCAGTCCGTGTGGCATTCCCGTGTTTCGCAGCACGACGCCGGTGTAGGTGCCCTTGTCGCCGTARGGATCCARCAACTTCTTGTTGACGACCTTGATTCGGTCGTCTCCGTAGGTKGAGCTGGCCACCGTCTGTCCTATGGATTGGTCGTCGACGGAGCCGGGAGCGAAGGTATCTTTCTCCATGTCCGATCCTTTCGAGACATAGACGGGATCAAATCGATCCGAGGACTCGTTGTTCTTTGCATTCTTGGCAGCACTGGTGTTGTTTGCCATCGGCGTCTCGGCCGTGCTCAGACCATGCTCCTGCTTGGGCTGGCTCTTGAGTTGCTGCTGGTGCTGGTTGGCGGAAGCATTGTTTGCGTTCGCGGCAGCGTTCCCCATTAACTTTTCGTCAATAGAAGGATAGAGTTTCTTYTTGCTGTTGGCATTCAATCCGGCCTTGAACGAGTTGTTGTTGCTGTTGTTGCTGTTGCTGTTGTTGTTGTTGGCGTTGCCGGAACCCGCCATTCCGTTGTTGTTGCTGTTGTTGCTGTTGCTGTTGTTGTTGTTGGCGTTGCCGGAACCCGCCATTCCCGATTCGTTTTCGGTTCTGCCCGACGATCCCTTTGCGACCGCGTTCCACGGATGGTCCTTCTCGGATTTTGCCTTGGAAGCTGCTGCCGCAGTGGCTTCTCCTTTGGCCGGGTCGATTCCATCGCGGTTGGTTTCCGTCTCGGCAACCAATTCGCTGCCGGCTTCGTCGCTGGCTTTGGCGCTGTTCTTGGTTTTGGCAATGTTGGTGTCCATCCACTCGAGCTGTTTTCGGAATATCTCCTCCTGYCGGGAAGCCATGGATTCCGTGGCTTCCTTCTCGGCTTGCAGCTTGATCAGCAATCGTTCTTTTTCAAAGGTCTCCCTTACCTGGTCCAGCGTCGTTTGTAGCTTCGTCGCCAGGACCACTTGTTCCTGGTATCGCCGCTGGGTTTCTTGGAGCGATTCGCGAACCTGTCGGAGCTCGTTGTCCTTGTCCTGGATGAGTTTCCACAGCATGGCATTGTTGTGTTCTTCTTGCTGGGTCTGCTGGAGCGTCGGCGCCGATTTGACGGACGAAACGGCCGCCTGCTGCATCTGCAGCTGCTGCTGGTGAAAGGCGGCTGCAGCAGCGGCCAGGAACTGCGGGTCGTAGCTGGCGTTCGAAAAGGGCGAGGACGGGGGATTCATAGCCGCCGCTCCGGACGGGCTTGGATTGGCGGAGCTCTTGAGGGAAATCCCGTTCGGCAGGCCGTTGTTGGTGGACGMCGAGGCKGCCGATTTCGATCCSGACGAGTGGGTGCGAGACGGGGCGCTATACCGCTGCTGGCCGTAGACGCTGCCTCCGGGAGACGCCACCGGAGGCCGGGCAAAGGGCTGTCGCTGCGGATTGGAGAAAGCCGAGGAGTCGTCGTCCTCTTGTGGTTGCTGTAGCTGCTGCTGCTGCTGCTGTTGTTGTTGCTGCTGCTGCTGCTGCTGTTGGGGAAGGGGGGGTCGGTAGGCCTGGGAGGACTCCGAGGAGGCAGCTCCCGTTCCCCCCGTCTCTCGCTCCCCGGATCCCCCCGATCGAGACGTTGCGTCGAGGTCGATGCTCTCGTTCTCGAGGGCCTGCAGCTGCTTCTCCAGCTCCAGTCTGCGTCGTCTCAGGGCCTCCCGGTTCGCCTCGTACTGCTCGTTGCATTCCGGGCATGTGTCGAGCTGGTAGGTCTGTCCCGTCGACGGGTCCTTCTTCCGGAGTTCCACCCACGGGTGCTGGGCGCACTTTCCGTCCGGCGTCATGAGGGCCTTTGTCGCGATCGTGTCGACGTCGACGTCGACCCCGTTGCCCTCCTGGCTCAGCTCGTCGAATCCGCTCATGCCGTGTGTTTGTTGTTGGTCTGCTGTGCAATGTTTGTTGCAATGGGAATGCCTGTGAACAATGGAACTAGGAAAGGATTGCACCCGCCACCGTGGTGTTTTCAACGGGATTTGTGGTTCGGTTTTGGTTTTGGTTTTGGTTTCGATCTATCTTGCACTCGCTTTTTGCGGAAAGCTAGACCGTGAGCAGCAGGTCTCTTGGTTTGGCTTGGTTTCTAGCAGTATTAGGAGTGGTGTGGTAATCGTACAATGCTCTCAGAACACTGGGTAGAACGTCCTTACTGACAATTTCGTAGCTACGTACAGCAGTTAGTGACAGCTAAGTATTGTACCGTACGGTACGGTACCTCGTATCGTACAAAACTAAACTAGAAGTATTCCGTGACCGGGCGGGATTGGAAATTGCTTCGCTACTGTACTCCATCGTTGTAGGATAGGATGTACGATACTGCCAGTACCAGTGCGTTATGTGACATACGAAGACACGCATCTCTCAATCGTACCGTACGATGCGATCTACAGGTCTGTACCGTACGGTACTAACTCATACGTACGTACATGTTGCTCCTAGGAAATTGAGTTCACAGTACCGTACGTACGGTACCTGATGGAAGGGGTCTACTGCATATTATGAGCCCTACCTACGTACTCGTACGGCATTCCACTGAACTCAAGATTATTAGAAGTATTGCTATTACTTCATACAATACTATTCATACAATACTATTCATACAATACTATTGCCTTCTCTGAAACCACGGGGCCGGCCGAGACGACGATTCTTCGGTCGTTCGTTCGTTCGTTTATTCGTTGGAACCCAAAAACAAACAACAAGGCCCGGGAAACTTCCTGCCGCGAGGCCGGCGACGCGCGGGCCCATTCGAGCGCCCGCGGAGCTCCGGGGGGAGAATCCATTCCCCCCATTCAACGATCCGGAACCGAACGCCCCCAAATATTTTTGTTGAAGTCAACGTGAGCAAATCTTCCGCAACGGCAGGGCCTCCCCAGCGCCGTCTTGCCGCGAGGGAAGAAACGGCACCGCACCCAAAACCCCGGGGATTGTGACGTCCCTCTGTGTGCCCGGAGAGAGAAAACGATTCTTCCGTACCGTAGCCTTCCTACTCGCGATCCATCATCCCCCGGCACTGCAACACCCCATCGCAACCAAACYGTACCATCGCACATTCGTATACAAATAATACACAATACCAATACCAARATGAAATTCCTTGCTACCCTGTCGGTTTTCGTTGTCGCCTTGCAGGCCGTCTATGGCTTCCAGCCCATCTCGACGTCGTCGGTTTCCCGAACGCAGTTGATGGCCGCCAACACCGAGGAACCCGCCTCCCCGTTGAGCAACAAGGTCCTTCCCTCCATTGCCGCCACGACCGGATTTCTCCTCTCGATGGGAATCGACCCCGCCTTTGCCGCCAAGGAACTCCCCCCTGACACCAGCTACATTGGAAAGGATTTCACCGCCGCCTACCTCCCTGCCATTATGGTTCCCTTGGTCGGCATCGTCTTCCCCGCCTTCTCCATGGCCTTGTTTTTCCTCTACAGCCAACAAGACGACGTGGAGTCCGCGTAAATGCGGTCGTGCGCCGCGCCGTTGTGGATTCGCGGGCGGAGGGATGGATCGATCGATCGATCGATGGCCTCTCTGTCCGGTGGATGCACGCACTTTTAGCAATCCTCGGCGAACCGGCCGTTCACCTTATGCGAGCGGGGGCGGCATGCACGGGCCCTATGGCCCGGAGGCACCCCCCGGTGGCTCTGATGGATGGTTCTAGCACGGGTCCGGGCCAGCCTGCGATGTTGTGCGGGCGCCCGCGTGCCGGGAGGCGGCGGTTTCGAGAGTAGATTGCGCGAGGGATAATTATCAAGAACCTAATACTAATAGAAAGAGCATTGTTWCCCACTCGCGTGTGTTTCTGGTTCCACCACGGCTGTGCGCCGCGGTTTGTTTCGGCACTTTGCGGAGCGTCGTCTTTGGTGTCCACGAAAAGACTCCCTATTGGTATCTTTTTCATTTAGCAATACAGTAGTAGTCGTGCCGTACCACAAAAACGGGAAGTTTTTTGGAAGTTTGGACCGATTGTAGTAAGAGTGGAACTAGGACTATTAGTAACACTATTATTCTGCACTACAGATTGCGTCTCTCCCATCCCAGTCGGTGGGATCCCTGTCGTGTAGTATCACTAGAGTAGAATATGGAAGGCTGGTAGACACAAGTCATCAGCTTTCTTATACTAGCAAATACAAAATGTTTAGCACTATATTTGTGGTTTGTTCTTGGCCAGCCCATGAGCTTATTTGCTGATTCCATTGAAAGGTCATTGAATCGAAACCATCCCGTCGTATGGAAGGAACCGCGTTAATCMTTGATCCGAATCCAATCTTGGATCTCAAATGTTTTGGTAACGGTGTCAAATAAATACAACTTGTATCAGCTAGGACAGCTGCAGTTGAAACAAAAACCCGATCGATTACGATSCCCCAAACTTGTCACAACTATCGCCTTGGTTGTCGCTTTCTGACCCATTGCTGTCTGATTGATCATCTGAATTGTTGTTTTCCGATTCATTGTCCGAGTCGTTGTTTGATTCGTCGTTCTGTGATTCGTCTTCGGGTTTAGTCTTCGTTGCTTTGATCTCGGATGCATCAAAGTCGTCACCCCCATCAATTACACCTTGCTGGTGATCTGTGAGGTCACCAAACATCATGTCGTTTAACTTTCTGTAATTGACTCGTGTTCTTCTTCGCTTTCCTAAAATGATATTTGCCTCGTCGAAATCTGCTCCGTTGTCGGGMATCTTGGATTCTTCGCCCTCTTCCTGCTTCACAAGTCTTCTGCTTCTTCGGATATTGGTATTGCTCTCATCGTCACTTTCTTCGCTTTCTGATTGTTCTTCCTCGGACAGCGCCGCGAGTTCGGCCTTACCCACTTTGAGGTCGATATCGTCCATTTCCTGAAGCGTTGCTTGGCTAGAGCATACAGAGTCGTCATCACTTGATTCTTCGTCGCGTTCTTGGCGTCTTCGTTCTTGAAACGAGTCTTCGTCAAASAGAGAATAATCGTTTTCGTCTTCGGAATCACTACCGATAGGCATTTGAACTTTGTTTTTGGCAATCTCGTCACCAAGGAACATTGAAAGAAGACGTTGAGTATCCTCGTTTCGCTTGCCTTTCAAGTATTTCGTTGCGGTCTCGAATTCCCATTGCGAGCCAGGAAAAACATCGTGGACATCATCCCATGAATTCGAGGAGGCATCCTCGTCGTGTTCATTGGAGACACAAAGGTCGTGTATCTCGCCCATCAGTTCGGCCAAATTAGAGCAAATAGGGCAAAACCAGTCCTCGTCCTCGTTTTCGATCTCTTCCGGTTTGACGGCGGGATGGACACACTTCATGTGAAAGGCACGATGGCAGTCTTTGCCATCACAAAGAATAACGTCGTTACAATCCGTTGAATCGCCAATCATGCAAATGGAGCATTGCAAGTCGTCCAACGTAATCCCGGAGTCGTCATCGGCATCGGCATTTTGGCTGRCATGCTTTTCTTTCTGTTTATTTTTCTCTCCTCGCTTCGAACTGGCCTGGGTTTTGGAGTATTTTTTACCGATTTCGGACACACTGCTATTCGATCTTTCACGACGCTTCCCCGAGGATCCGTTTAAAACAATTTCGCTGGGAACTAACCCGTTAGCTTTGTTGCTGCACGTTTTCTCGTCTACATTTTCCTGTTTTCGTTCTCTTGTACGCGGTACAATRCGTCTTCCGTCCTTGCAGACTTTGGACCCGAAAGGAAATACGTGGCTTGCGTGCTGGGGATATTCCTCGCACCASGAGTAAAGGCACGAAAAATTAATCGATTCCGTGTTTGTCCTCAAGGCTTCGAGGGACAGGAGTGCATCTCGAATTTTGAATTTTGCGCCTGTAATTTTACAGAGAGTTTGTGCTAGTTCTTGAGATGATTTTGTTCYCGCCTTTGAGCTATTCTGCAGAAAGTGTTGTCGATTTCGCTTCGTTGAAGTCATCGTCTCCAACGTAGTTTTTGCCATCCGGATATTCGAAGCCTGTGATTTCAAGAACGTCTTGAGTTGTTTAAATTGACGATCCCACAGCCGGGCTTTGGTCACACCAGATACTAGCTCGAACTTTTTTTCCAACGATGAAATATCTAAGGCCTGGGTGGATTGGTTCGGTGGCGCTTGAAAGATTTGATCGGTTATGCTGCGCTTCAGCAGGATYTCTGGAATCCCAGCTGGTTGGCTTGGCTTTGATTTGATTGATCCCTTTCGGTCCCGTTTTTTCGAGGGCCGCTTTWGGTTTTTGTTTCCTTGCTGTTGCATGGTACATATCAAGCAATGGAATTCTCCTCGAGGGACCACAAGGATAGGTACAAAATGGCATTTYTGGTGATACAATCGATTGCAAGTATCGCAATAAACCAATGCATTATTTCGATCGTACAACTTATCACCGTCCATGTATGGGTCATCTAGACCAAAGTAATAATCCTCATCTTCTTCCAATTCCGATTTTCTATCCTTCGAGAAGAATAGAGCACGATCACTRCAATCTACTCCACACTGGCAAAGGCAACAAGCAACTTGTTCCTCGTCTTCTTCGCTCTCGCTGCTATGAGTAGAACCATCATCATCCTTTTTCACTTTAGGGTCCTCCTGCTGCTGGCCGGTTTCCTTTTGCACTCGAGTCAGCGACGCGACATTTCTCTGGGCCGCCGTACTTTTCTTCTCTGTATCGGTTGGTTCGTTCTCGTTGGATTGTTTGGACGCAGCTTTTGCTTTTTTTGTCGGCTTCGCTTTGGTRGGACGATGAGAAGAAGCTTTGGAACCCTTCGGTCGCCCTCTTGGCCGCCTTCCTGGCTTTTTCGGGAATTYCTTTTTCTGGGACTTTTGCTCCTTAGATTTCTTTCCTCGCTTGAGAGCTAAGATGGGTGTAGAAGAGACAGAAGAGGCATCGTCGCTCAGGACACTAGCATCGCTCGTCCCGTTTGTCATTGTCTTCCGTGTGGTAGCGATAAAACAAACGCAATCAGTTCAATGCAATGCAGTCCAACTCAAGTCAATTCGAMCACAGTGAAAAATTCACAAAAAGTCAGCTACGACAACGTAGCCCACTYGTCAAGTTTTGCCAGCCGTACTCCGTATTGCAATGAGAAGTGCACAGCAGCACACTAACAGTCCTTTCACTGCCTGACTCTATCGATGGTAAACCGATAAATA